GTCACATATGATGATCAACTGCTACTATTACATTAGGCCTATTTCTTTACCAAAATAAATCAACATGACTATAACCAACTAAAAATATAAACCTAAACCAGCTCTAAAAATCATCTAAACCCTTTAACATTTCTTTCTCCAACATCCGTGGTATTCGTACCAACTTCTGCAGTGTGAAATCACCCCTCTCTGATAAACCTCCTGATATACTAGCTCACTGCGTGACTAACCTTAACTCGTCAATCCCTTTCTCTGATTTATTGATTCCAGGCTACCTTACTCTCCTCAGAAAGGACTCTATACACATTCATGGCCTGGGAGTTTGTCCATGATGATCGCCCGCTGGCTACAGAAGTCTCTTTTGAGTCCCCATTTGTATATGTGTCTCCTCCTATTTCTCCTCAATTCAGTAAGCTATCTCTTCATTCTCTACCGTTCCCCTTTCCTCTCAAGGCTTTTGTGTCCTTGATAACATTTCCGACAATATATACAAAGTCATCTCTCTACATACGTTTGCAAACGTATTCGTGTTCGGTGACTTTAACGGCCACCATACTGTATGGCTTAAACACGCTGTAACTGACCTCGCTGGTATCCAAACCTTTAACTTTTCAATCACTTAATCCCTCGCGCAAGTGGTTGACTTTCCTACGCCATACCCCAGTAACCGTGACGCTAACGCTTCCCTTCTCGATCTCTGTTTTACCTTCATCCCTATGCAGCTCTGAGCTCTTGGCAACTACGATCACACAGTAGTGTCTGTTAACATCTTCCACACACACTCCAACCATGAACCTCCTACTAACAGATAACTATCATTATGTTATCAACGCGCATACTAGGATTTGTTCCGTGATTTCCTTCGGTACGTCCTTTGAAATGTGGCTTTTCTCCCTAGAATTGAGGCTCTGATAAATGAGATGTGGATAATCCCGTCGATGATATTGAACATCACCTCTAAATTAGACGCTCATAAAACAAGTGATGGTGACAGGATGACCGCCGTAATCCTAAAGAGATGTGGCCCTGAGCTGGCTCTACTTCTCAAACTATACATTTGCCTCGATCGTTCTTGTTTCCAACCTGCTGGAAAACTTCTTCTGTTGTCACTGTCTTTAAAAACTCTGAAAACCCATCTAACTACCTTCCTATCAGTCTCCTACCACTCTTCGGCAAATCATTTGAGGCTTTAATCAAAATCCAAAGTGGTTAAGCATCTGACCTCCCATGATCTACTCAAACAATATGGTTTGCCCGTTCTACCGCTGATGTGCTTACGACCATAACTGAATATATATACAGAGCTATTGATAATAACGGCGAAGCTCGAACTTTTGCTTTCGATATATCGAAGACGTTCGACAAAGTTTGGCAAGTCGGCCTTCTAAGTAAGCTTCATGGATATGGTATTACAGAACCATTATTTTATTTAATCCAATCATTCCTGTCAAACCGTGAAATGAAAGTCGTCCTAAACAGGTTCTTTTCCATTTCATTTCGTACGTTTTCCAAGGATCTATCCTGTGTCCTACACTGTTTCTAATCTTCACCAACGATATTCCTGATGTCATCAATTCTCAAGTAGGCATCTACGCAGGCATCTACGCAGGCATCTACGCAGACGACACTACAATTTACGTCTCAATAGTTAATCTGACCGTTGGCCGCGAAAAGGACTTCCAATCTGTGGTTGACTGGGGAATGAATTGGCTTGTAACTTTTAATGCATCCAAAACGAAACTGCTCTCATCTACCCACCACAAAGAAACTTACATGCCTTCTATCATGCATCCTTCTTCTTACTGCTCCTTCTTGGTCTCACGTTTTCCACTGACCTGAGGTGGAACAACTAAATTGAATCAATAGCAGCATCTACCGCAAGTAAAGTTGGTTCTCTTTTTCGCGCCAGAAGGTTTTTCTTGTCCATCCTTCACATCTACAAATCTACCATTCGTCCATGTATGGAATATAGATGACATATATGGAGTTAAATGTAACCGCCTCTTCTATTCCAGCAGCTTATTTTCTCGCACTTCCCGACAGTGAATCTCCCTTCCTCTTATTTGTTTCCAGATAACTATAATCTTCAAAAATTTAAGTGTAATATCGATGCCTTGATCTCCGTTCTTCTTTTTTCCGTTCCTCAACCCCCCTATACCCAGTCTTTTCTCTTATATCTTCTCCCTGTAACCCCTTGCGGACTAATAGGACTCACGCCTTTCTTGGGGGAAGTGCTTAATATATATATACACGTAAAATTTATATATATATGTACACGTAAATATATATATATATATATATATATATATATATATATATATATATATATACACGTAAAATTTATATATATATATATATATATATATATATATATATATTCCCTGGTTACCAACTGTTTTTTTTCCCAGTCGTTTTTGTTAATATCAGAATGAATACATTTTAGATACATCAAGGGTGGTCTTCAGTGATGCACTATCCTCATCGCCGATTTCGGGTTTTGTATCATATCGGCTCAAACACCAACCCCGACCTGACTCCGGAAGAGTAAGGCCGCCTCATTGAAAGCGTCGTGCTACGCACCTCGACATTGCAAAAAAAAAAAAAAGGAAGACATAGCTAGGTGTCTGACCGTGCTCATTGAAATTCATCCGTCAGCCTCAGCCAATACTTTTCTTGAATATAGATTAACATTCTCATATATATCGCTTTCAATGATGGACAACAAGTTTTCTATAGCATTCATATCTGGTGACGCTGGGGACCAATCCGTTAATATTAAGGGTTTTGCATGGTTGGCTATGATCAGTTAAGTCAGAATGGGAAGGAGCATTGTCTTGGCAGAATATAATGTTTAACTTAAAGATTGTTGTTTGTGACCCGCACCACTCAAAAATATTGAAGAATTTACAATGACTTTTAAATAACACAAGGAGTCACATAAATATCCAAGATTTTGTAGTCAGCTACAAATACTGAGCTAACCTGCTAATGCTATAGAGAAATAGAAGGTTAAAATGTAATTGTCAGATTTTTTTCTCTTCCTCTTTTTAGCTGTCACAAAATGTATATTATCACCTGCTGTCCACAATCATGTGTTTGTATGATGTTTTGTGTGATTAACGTCTCTGTTTTCAGGACTGTCATTCTTATATATTTTCTAGGTTTTCTTTGCATTTTACTTTAGCTTAGCATATTAAGATATTTTATAGACAGTTACCGTTTAGAGGGTATTAATAGTTGTTTCTGCCGTTATAAATAGAAATTGGGTTTCATGATGTATGTTTTTTCTGTTGTGGTTTTAAGGATTTCTAGCACGTTTTCTGGGCAGCTATAGACACGTTTTGGGGCATTTCTTTTGAAATTGTTTCTTAGTTGGGGAAGTTTTTATCAATTATTTTAATGAATAGTTATCAATAGCTGAAGGTGAAAGTGTAATTGACCAATATTTTTCTCTATCTCACTTTAGCTGACGCATAATTATATATTATAACTTGTTGAACATAGTCTATATTCATATGTTTGAATGGTAGTAAACCAAAAATATCAACAAAAACGTTATTACATCAGAACCATCTTTGTAAAATTATATTATGCCGATTAAGTAACTGCCACTATCACAAATACTCATGGGTTGCCATTTTTAAAAAAAATCAAAATTTAAAAATTATCATGCAACAAAAATATATCAGAGAAAATGTTTTCATACGGTTTTCAGTTTATAACCTAAATTTTTACTGCAGTTCTGTAGCAACAAATTGATTTTGCAGACTTAATATTAAATAATTCTGGTTGAATGCAATCGCATGTGCTCTTGGCGCTCACGAAAAAGATTGGGAACTATTTTATGAATCAATCATTGCAATGAAAGAAGCGACGTCGTTTTTCAATCTCAGACTCAATGAGATTAGTAGAGAAGAACTGAATACATTTTATAGATTTCATTATTACATCAGTTTGCTTAAATTTGTAACATTCAACATGTTTTGCCTTTTTCTTCTTCAAAATGAACAATACAATTTAATAATATAATCATATAAAAATAGCATTCTTTTTTCGAAAACGGAACAACAGGACAAAAAATGGTAAAAATGATTGAAATATAACTATAATCATTTTAATAAAGCGAGAAGTTGAATTTTGTGTATCAAATTTGTTTCCTGGTTTGTGCTTCAAAGTTTTTGAAAGAAGCAAATTCAATTCTAAATTTTAACATTCCACCAAGCATTGCATGAAAAAATAATCAAATTTTAAGTGTGAAAATGGAACTCTCTCGTTTCATAGTACAAAAAATGAATTCATCCTCCATCTTTTTTTTTTTTTTTTACATATTAATTCAACAAATTATCGGATTCACTGGCTGGGCTCATGACAAACCTGAGACTTGCCTTCACAGTTCGAATGAATGGCATTTATCATCATTATTTTTCCTTCTTTCTACAAATAATCAATTAAAATTATTTGACCTTTTCCCCTATGTCATCTCTAATTTTCCTCACTGGAAATTTTCATCCATTTTTTTCTTTTATTATCTTATTAAAATTCCATATCCAATGAGCTATTTTTATATGCTTTTAAATATAAAAAAAGAAAAACGTATATCCCGAAAAGAAATATCAGCGATAATACATTATATTGGGATTTAGTTTCATTTTGTTTAATTTTATTCCACAAATTTTTCATTGACCAGCTTCTATGAACCTCTGCTTATGTCTTTTATATAATCCAGAGTAATTATTATTTTAGAAAGGGAGACAATTGTGCAATTAAGAAATATCGAAAAGCGTGTTTGATTTGTGTTTAAGTGAGTTAAAAACAAATCTAGAATTTAGGCTTTCTTTTTAAATTTATATTCTCTCTCTTTCCTCTCTCCTCACACACACACAATTTCATTCTCCCTTTCACTTTCTTTCTCTCTCTCTCTCTCTCTCTCTATCTATCTATCTATCTATCTTTATTTTTTATTTTTTACTAACTCGTATCTTTTATGTTTGGGATTTGCTTCAGTTTGTAAAACTTAGATTTGTCGAACCATTGATCGTGTGAATATTTCGTTGATGGCTTCTCCTTGTCAACACGACAATTAAAACAATGATGATCAAAGAGAGGATGCAGATGACGGCAATAAGAATACCAAAAGCCATTTTTTCAACTTGCCGATCTGAAAAAATAAAATGAAAAATAGTTATGCATTGAAATTAATATTAAAAAATACATGCAATTTCCTGGATTCAATGAAAATCTATTAATTCCTTTTTTCTTCAATGTAAAAGTAATATTTTCAAAACTAAATTCAGATACTTTTCCGAGAACCAATAGTTAGCTAACTTTCTCTAATGAGTTCTCTTGCGTTCATCTACCAGATTTTTATACAATCTTGTTTTGTGTATTCGTATGTGTGTATGAGTTGAAAATAACGTATAAAGAAAAGAAATGGAACCAACAAAAACGAAAGAACCAAAAGGAAAAGGGGAGATAATCATTATTTTTACTTTAGGAAAAGGGGAGATAATCACTATATTTACTTTTATGTGCATAACGAAATAACTAACGTAACAAAATGCATTCCGAGTTTAAATTAGCAACAAACGAGAGAGCACTCTTAAAAGCCAATAAGAATTTAAGATTCAAGCGATCCACTCTTCAAATTGACGACATAAGTTCATTGTTAGTTCCTGCTCATCTTTCATAGTCATAAACTAACTTGTCTGAAACGATAATGTATATATATATATATATATATATATATATATATGTGTGTGTGCGTGTGTGTTGGTGTGTGTGTCTGTGTGCGTGTGTTGGTGTGTGTGTGTGTTCCTGTATGATGGCTTAAGGCTGCTGCTGCTACTACTATTGTATTGTAGTCTACTGAAATATACGCCTGATAATGTAGACTCTGAGTTAAAAATGCTAACCTTAAAAAAAAACTGCTCTAGTTCCAATGCGGTAAGTGTTAAGTTAATCCGCTTACGTTCGATTAATGCTAAGCGCACCCCCCACTCACCGCCAATGCTTGTCAAAGAATTACACTCTAATGCTATTTCCAAAGACGCTACTGTATATTTTTAAACTAACATAAGTTTGACATAAATGTAATAGAGAAATACAAGAAAACAGGGGCGTGACCGCACAGGCGAATACCACCCGATTCTTAGTATAGCAAAATAGCCCTTCATCATCATCATCATCATCGTCGTCGTCGTCGTCGTCGTCGTCATCATCATAATCCTCTTGACTTTTGTAATCGTAGGGTGGATCCGAATGCAGAAACCACACTAACTCTTTTCCACAACGGTCTATCAACGGAAGCCATCAGCAATTACTGTCATACCTGTCCATTGTTTGACATTGTCCAGCCAGATTTTTCGTTGGCGTCTTTTCCTACGTCCACCTTCAACGGTGCCTTTGCATGATGGTCTTGCACAAGCTGTCGTGCCTTGTAATGTGTCCAAACCACGTCGTTTTTCTCCGTTTGACAGTGGCGAGAAGAGGTTCTCATTGGTTTTTTGTTCCCAATAGAAAATGCTAAGGAGTTTTCTCATGCATTTGTTCTCAAACGCTTGGACGCCTCTTTGTATCTGCCGACAGTGTCCACGTTTCACATCCATATAGGAGAATAGGATATTATGCACTCCGGGTTACTTGCCAGGTTTCAAGCTCTTTACTGTCAACTCAACCTCTTCTTTCAGTACTAACGGACTGGTCTCTTCTTCTTCTGTGGAGTGCTGGTCACTTTGCAATATGGAGAGATCTGGATGAAGCTGGTAATTGTATAAATCATCCCAATTGCCATTCAAACCAAACTTAATTCGTTTCTGGTGAGCCGAAGTAGAATATCATATTTACTTTTTTTTTGTAGTAAAGTTCGCCTTATACAAGGCGTGGAGGCCACTCGAGGGAGAATGTTACGTTAAGGATAGAAAGGAGAAAATAACTAGACATGAACAGGTTAAGACTGTAGTGATGACGGAAAAATCTTGTTGGTGGTCTGTCTCACAGAGCAGTGGTTCGCTGGAAGAAGGTGTTCAAGTGGAACTTACTTCACACTAATGGAATACGGTGTTTTGCTATAATGTAAGTGGCATAGCGAGTCTTTACAAACTCTATGTTCATTACTTCCCTAGAAACTTAACGGTAGATTATATACTACAGTAACAACGACGAAAATATGAATACACATACTCAAGCATTGAGTTTGTAGAAGACAGGCAAATATTCCGCGCTAGAATAGCGAACAAAGTCCATTTTCATTCTAGAGATAAAAACAAACTGTGTCAAGGACATTTGCTGAAGACAGATAGCTATGAAACAATTTTTGTTGTGTCTTTTTTTATTTTCATTGGGTTTTTGGAGGGTTTTCTCAGAAAAATCACTTGCATACAGAATATGTTTATGTAACTTTCATACACACCTATATTAATGTTACATCTAATGAGGAACAGATTCAAGTAACGACTCTCGAAAAGACCACCTCCCAGTTACATGCAAACTCAGACTAAAATTACAGAGATTAAGTGGTCAGGAATTCAAAGATGTAACGCCTTAAGGGAAGCCTTAGTGACATCAGTGACCTAGAATATCCCAAAGGAAGAGAGAAAGACAAAAAGAAGTGGATAACAAATTAAATTTTCGAAATGATAGAAAGACAGCGAACAATGCTAAGGAATTGCACTAGATGTAAACTAAATACATTAAAAAGAAATACGAAATGTCAAAAAATGAATGGAGTAAGGAACGTTGTACACCGATAGAAACACTGCTGAACATAGAGCTGGCAGGCATGCATGAAATGATGAAAGATAACAGGACAGAAGTTAGGTAACAGAGAAAAGTTATACTTCAATTATGGATCGTGAAGTGTCAAACATTGCATACAGCTACCAGAGATAGGAAGATTTGAAGAACCCTGTGAACTCCTGAACAAAGAGGAAAGCATAAAAGAAAAAGAATGAAAAATAGAATTATGGCTAATGAAGCTAACCATTAAAACAAATCAAACATTTTTCTAGTGAATAAATAAGAGATATGTGCAATATAAATTTTACAATTACCTTCTTCAGATTCGGCTTTAGTGTTAATAAATGGTGTCGTATTGTCCGATGTTCTCTCGGCTTCTGCTACAGCTGGTATCCGACTGATTGCTTCAGGTGTGAAACTTCGGCAAACAGGTAAATGATTCGGAGCTTTGGCCACGTCAGGTAAAGATTCATTTAGGATCATTGCCATTCCGTCCATACTATGAATTTCAATGTGACAGTGCATAAACCACAGACCTGGGTTATCGGCCTTGAAACGAATAACAGCATAACCACCCGAGGGTACAATGATAGTATCTTTCAATGGAGCATTTTTTAATTTAATCCCAGGGATGTTATCACCACCCCAGTTGCTGTTGGTCCAGGCGGCATCATTACAATAATTCTTCTTTGGATCACCACGGCAGTCAACATCGGAAGTATCGGCTATCGTTTCACCAGTGGTTTCATTAAAAACTGGATAACCCATTTTAACAACTGCATATGAGTGTCCATGCATGTGAATTGGATGATGGTAACCTTTTCCCCCTCCCATGTTTAGGAAGACCATCTGAACAGTATCATCCTTTTTTACATTTACAGAATAAGTGCAGAAGCATATCTTATCAACCCCGCAGTCTTTCTTGTCACATAATGTATCTACTTCGTTGGGTTGGTAGAGTGGATTTACGGAGGGCTCCGCGTATTTTCGTCCATTCACTGACCCTGGAGTGTTACCAGGTTCACCCGGAAAAGCGAAATTTAAAAAGTATTCTTTCCATTTCCCAGGTACGACACGAGGCACTTCATAATCAAAAGCAGAGTTCATTTCAGATAATAAGATACATTTTCGGTGTTGTTCAATTGGATAAAATGAAAATGCGCAATTTAAAACCTCACAGGGATCATCTTGCGTGCAATTCTTTGGTGATGAATTCGGTTCTTCATCAGGAGCACCCTCGTAATGAAGAATAGCTTCAAACGTGTGGTTCTTTTTAACTTCCGTAGTTATTCCCCGGATCCAATAGTTTCTAGTTGTTTGGTTCGCTGATATAATAAAGTCAAACCGTTCTCCAGGGTTTATTACGAAGATATCTGCTACATATGGCTCCACTTCGCAACCATCCGAAGCAACAATCTGCAGTTTGTGACCATCAACAGAAATCTCAAACGGATACAGAGCACCAGCCGCTATGACTCTGAAACGATAATTCCTTCCTGGTTCAACATTGAATTTAGCAAGAGGTGCTTCGTTATGAATGCTTGGTTGACTATAGAATCGTCCACGACCATTTACCAGACCAGAATGAAAATTGAAAAGACTGAAGAGCGATCCGTCCAATGAACCAGTGTTTCCAATCTGTTTCTGGTTAACGTACATACCATGCACCATCTTAAGGTAAGCTACATCGGATTCCCAGTGATGATTGTAATCGCTAATAACCATAATATGTTCTGGTGTTGTCATAGTCTTCCTTTCTCTAATAATAAATGCGCCATAGAGTCCCATGGTCCTTTGAGTGCCAATATGAGAATGATACCAGTATGTCCCGGTTTGTGTAAGATTAAACTTATATGCAAACGACTGTGATGGACCTATAGGACATTGGGTTACGTAGGGAACCCCGTCCATGAAGGGTGTGCCTCTTTGGTGCAATCCATGCCAATGAATCGTAACACCACTAGAGTATAGTTGATTTTCAACATGGACAATCACAGTTTGGCCGATGTAAGCTTCGATCGCCGGACCTGGGATTGTTCCATTAATTGCAACAACTAGTCGAGACTCTGGATAGCCATCCATTGTAATTACCTCGTCTTCTGGAACGGGGGTCGCTGTACTTGTATTCACGGTTTCAACAGGATAGAGTTTACCATTCACAGCTTTCAGGAGTTGTTTTCCTTTCACCATTGTCAATTGATAAGCAACGATAAACTTATATTCGCAAACATCAGCTTTCATGTCGCACGGTTGTGTTGCTGACATTGGTAACAACAAAACAACGATTAAAATTACTCCAAAGGGTAGGATCGTAATTCGATCGACCTAAACATAAAAACAATTTAAAAAATTACATTTTTGGATAAGTTATTTGTCTGTTTATAAAATCAGAGCCGATGGTGTAACTATTTCTCGTAAAATTCGTTTTGTTATTATTGGTTGATAATTTTCTATCTAGAAAAATCGTACAGATACCCATGTCTCAAGACGAAGAAAACCGTGTGCTGAAAATTCAGGCCCAGTTCAGAAACTGAGGTTAGACATGTATGAAACTCTATCCAACGTTTCAGTGAATATTACCTTGAAAATATAACCTAATATCTACGTAAGTTTCATTTGAACACCTGTATTGTAAGTCACTATGGTTAATGGAAAATATCTGTACTACATTCCATTCCCACTCGCTGAATAAATTCTATTTTTTGTAGTAACATGTCAAATTCTTTCATGGACCAATTCTAACCGCACCTCATTCAAGCAACTAATCATAGAAATAGAGAATTGATTTGTATGGATTTATTCAAATTAATTTTCAAAATCTCAAATGATTTGGAAAATTTGTATTTACACATTTACAGAAAAGTGAAATTAAATATTCATAAAAATCAGTAATGGTTGACAATGATTCATCAAATAAAAATTCAAAAAAATATTGCTGCACACTTGGAACTCTTCAGATATAAATTTACCTACTAAAATGCTTAATTCGCCAGATCAAATATCAAATTCTTACCATTGTGAAAATGTCCGTACAAGCAACAAATGTAGATTTGAACCTAAAATAAAAACCAAACATAAGTAATGAAAAATCAACTTGGACATCAAGCATATTTCATGGTAACAAATGATAAAGGATAGAATTGCATATCGGAATAAATAATAATTTAAATTTGCATAATTCTATTTTCAGATTTATAAAACAAACTAGAATTTATTTGATATGACCACCGACCATTTTTCTAAAATGGTGAATTCATTTGGGAGAAATTCATTTATTGGATAAGGAAGATTTTAGAAAATTTCAAGAATTCAACGTAACTTAATAGATTCTTACAAATTTTTCCCATTTCCGTATTCGTTAAAAGAAACTCTACAATGGATAAATACTTAGGTTAGATCCAGTGACTAGACCCAAAGATTTGTGAGTTCAATACCAGGCTACAGCAGTGGTGAAACAAAAAACTTGAAGAGTTAAAGGAAAATAACTGAGACATCTGGAAGAGGCATGGCACGTGGAACTAAAACAATCTACCCCAGTGGACGAAATGAAGGGTTCGGTTCGAAATTTCAATCACCTGAAGAAGTCCGGAGTGTACAACGGCCGAAACGATGGGAATATGGCAATGAAGATGAAGATAACAGTCCGAACAATGTAAATAAGGTAAATAATCATAATACCTCATCTCAGAGATATACACAGAGTTTTTTTTTCTTTTTAAAAAATCAGAATTTATTCAAACACACAGGTGCTGCTGCAAAATGCTTTCAAAAAGAATATTGCAACATTATCGCCTTGTTGGAAAACTGAACGTTTATTCAAAGATACTCATGTGATAATAACCTTTGGAAGCTATTTTCTTCAACCACACGCAAATGAGAACTTTACCAATACAGATACAGTGTAAATTATATTGTTTCTATGGTGAAAAAATATAACTAGAAAATATCAGAAATATTAGAAAAACAGAAAAGGGGGCAGCGAGAGTCCATATCAATGATAGAGAGAGAAGAGCAGAATAAAGTATGCTGAACGTCCATATCGGTGATAGAGAGAAACAGCCATCGGTGTTAGCAGCCGATAACAGATAGCTCTTTGAAATTGAAAAATCGCGAAACGCTTGAAGATTTCACTTAATGGCTCCTTCAAATTATTACAGTTGTAACCACCCTAACGTCTTCTATTATAGTTACTGTATATTTTAGGGAAAGCATACTTTTCGTTCTCTCATTCTAGGAGCCCCGTTTGTTTTTATTTTCACTTCATGTGATGTTTTAATTTTATATGTATTTATTATATTTTCTGGATTTGTGAGATGGAGAGAATTAAAAGACGAACCCTTAGGTTAAATTGAAATATTTAAAAAAAAAAACTGTTAATAATTTAAATATTGTGATATGATACAGTATTACTTTTGCAGGTTGAGTTTATAATAATTTTTTTATTAAAGAAAATAGAATAGCGTCAAATATGCTACAAAATAATTTTGATTTGCTTAATTTATGAGGAAACAATGAGCTTCATTGTTGCAGAATCATTTTTTCAGTGATAAATAATTTAGTCCTGAAAATGGCGGAAAAAGTTTGCACAATTGTGCAAACCAAACAGGAAAAAATCACTTTTTATGCTTATTTTCGCTCTAATTATACACAAAATCCATAAAAATTATAAATTAACTATAATTTAATTATAAAAATAACGAACGACCAAAATAAAACCAAATATTAGGTTCTTAAATTTAATACTTTTAACAGTATGATGCACCTTGAAACACTCCACGCCCAATGAAGTTGCGGATTCTTGTCACCAAGTTATCATTATTTTAGCTCTTTTTCTCTTCTAGAAGTATCCATTTAGACATAGTCTAGTACTTCCACTTTTATTTGTAGGTAGATACTCCATAAAATGACGGAACTTCTTGAATGTTAGAGTTGACAATTAGTCATGTACACTCAAATCATGAATAAATGATGTCCATATCAGTGGAAAAAGTTTAAATCATCCTGGTGATATCCGCTAATCTCCAATGAAACATCAACTGATAATGCTCGCTGTTTAAAGGTTAAAGTCAGGTTTAAACATCTTATATGAATTGGCAAAACCGTTTATCAAAAATATTACCGAAATCACGAATATCATTTCAGAAAGCAAAATATTTAAGCATGAAAAAACACCTTTCAATCTTTAGGTGTGTCACTAATCTACATAAGTTAAGGGCGTGTTTATTGATATAAATTATACTCAAGTGATCAACTTCTACTTTAAATGCGTGTGTATATGATGTTTACTAAAACCCATATTTTGATAAGTTAAGACTGTCTACAAAAACTTTTTTGTATAAAAGTTAGTGTTAAAATAATTTCTTGCTTCCGTTAGCTAATCTTTTGAGAAGATGATCACCTGTAAATTGCTTCAGAAATCTCATGCTTTCGTTGTTATCATGTAAGTTTATTTTTGTCTTATCATCCAAAAGATTCGTGTTTAAGAAAACCATTGACATTGAATCTTGAAACATTGACAGAAGCTAATTATCTAAAATCTTTAATACGAATGTTCACTAAACAAGGTCAGGTCAGGTCACGTCATGTGTCCCATAACCCCTTTAGAGTCTTAGGTGCATCATACGTACTGTAGTCATAGTATGTCTAGGTTCAGATAACCTGACGGGGCTCATTACGCGATAAAAAAAAAGAAAGCATCAGTGATTACACGATCAAATCTCTAACGCTCTCGGCACTTCATCGATTTTTATGATCAGAAATTCACAAAACTTTCTTTTTTTTTCCTCGATAGAAAGACCTTGAGTACTTTATCTGCTAACATTTCCGCTTATGTGTAGGTACATATACGGCAAACAAAACTTACATTGACACGTAAATATAGGTTCTCAAAAACACCGTGAAATACCTGTTTCTAGTGTTAAAACCTATCTAGCGCTTAGTGCTATTTCCAGACCGGTATAGACATATAGAAGGTATGAATCCAACTCATCTCCCCCAGCTATGGGTTAATTAGTAAGACTAATCACTAAAACATTATCTCCAAAAAATTCTTCACTCAATCAATCAATAACTTTACTATCCTATTGAACCCCAAAAGGCGGCGCTCATAAGATAACTACGTCAGCGTCTTTATAGTATTTTAGTTCCAGTAAGAAGAAGCCTAATGCAGCACCCAAATTGCAATACAGCAGACTGCTGAACGATCAGGACCTAGAGAAAAAAATATATGGACAGTTTGAAAAGAAGATACGAGGAACAAAATGGACAACATGGAAATGGAAACTCGAAGTTGGACACACTGAGAGAAGCTTTAGTGGCATCAGCAAACGAGATCATCCTAAAGGAAAATGACAAAGAAGAAAAAGCGAATTGATGACAAATGAGATTCTAGACCTAATGCAAAGGAGACAGAAAACAATGCCAAGACATAGAACGGGATGCAAAAAACTACACAAAGAAATAAGTGACAAATGCAGTCTAAAGAAGAAGGGCTGAACGAAAAATGTGCAGAAATAGAAAGAATGAGTATCACAGATAAAAGAAATATGCATAAAATATAAGAGAACTAACAGAACAAAAGACATGTTCATCAACACGCTGCATAAAATCCTAGGATTGAACGCTGACATTAGAGAAAGAGAAGATACTTCAGAGATGGAACGTATATATAAGAGAACTCTTCCACGACGAAAGAGAACAATCGGCAATACACAGAAATAGCGACGGGCCGGAAATATTTAAAACCGAAGTGGAAGCTACACTGAACAAACTGAACCGGAACAAAGCCGCAGGGCCAGACAGAATTGTAGTAAAGATGCTGGCAGCCTTGCACTACTTCGACATAGACAAAATCACAGAAATAATAAATTAAATCAGCCTAATGAGCCACATAACAAAACACATTCGAATTCTGATGAATAGAGCGCGCAGCGGAATCAGACCAGAGATAGGACAAGAACAGTGCTGGTTCGTCAAAGACACCGGAACAAGAAACATGATATTCATACTCAGAATGCTATCAGAAAGAGCTATACAAATGCAGGACGTGTACCTGTGTTTTATAGATTACGCAAAGGCGTTCGACAAAGTACGCCACAAAGATCTGTTAGAGCTGCTAAGGAACCTTGACATATTCGAGAAAGACATTAGAATAATCAAGAATCTATACTAGCAGCAAGTTGCAAGCATAG